GCTACAGAGAGCGGGCTTGCCTCTCCTATCCGGGGGCTGCGCGATTTCGGAGGCTGGGGGCACCGGCCCCCTCTCGCCGCGGGGGAAGGGGGGCTGTTTACCGCGGCAACCGGCGGCCTGGCTCCGCCCCCCCACCCCCCCTGCCCGCCACGCAGAATGCGGCGCCGGCGATGACTTTGCAGAAAATACTTAAATTCAATAAAACGAATGAACCCGGGCTGGTTCCTCCTCTCCCTCCAGACGAGGACGGCGGGCGAGGCCGTGGGGGGCGACCCTCGGGGCGCGGTGCCGCCTCTTCACTCCCAGAGCCTGGCCGCCGCGGTGGGTGCCGAGCCCCCGCGCCCTCGGGAGCGTTGCGGACACGGACGGGGGACCGGGCACCCCTTTCCCAGCTCGGGACGTCTTCCCTCGCAGCCCCCACCGGTGCCCAGCGCGAACCACGGTCCCCACATCACCTGCCCGCGGCCGCCTGCTCCCCGCCGCGACCTCCTGCCCGTCACCCCGCCTGCGGCCCGGGCCAGCCCCTGGCTGGGCGCTGGGGGCCTGCGCTCCTGGGCCCGGCTCCCTGCCCCTTCCGGCCTCCATCCCCCCACCCGACACCCCGCGTCGCCCTCACTTCTGGGGGCGGAGGTCCCCGCAGAGCCCGCTCTTGATTCTCCTGCCCCATAGATGCGCGCACCAGCGTGTGAAAGTGTGTGGCTGGGGGTACCCTCACTCGATAGTCACCCAGCAAACACGTCTGAGTGCGTTTGCGGCTGGGTCACCGCTGCCCTGCCTCCGGGGGTGGGGGTGGGGGCGCAGGCCGGGGCTAGTGGGGGGAGGAGCATGGCCTGTGCCAGGGGCCGTTATGTCTAAAAAATTGGGGTGACATTGGCCAATAGGACCACTAGGAATCCATTTCTATACCCAGTGCTATGGGTCTAAATGTACGTTTCTCCACCCCCCTCCCCCATAGTCACTAAGGCAGTGGGCTGCTTCCAATGCCCAACACCACAACCCAGACACCCCACGGGCAGACCCCCCACCCTTACAGCCACTGAGAAGCCCAAGTGGTGCTGCCCCACGGCCCAGCCTGGGTGGACATGGCAGGTGCCCCCGCCCCCCCCCCCCCCCGTCCCTGGCCGTGGACAGTGTCCAGGGCCCCATTCTCCGCCAAACAGCTCCTTCCTGTGCACCTGTGGGGGGTGGGTCTCCCCGTCATTGGGCAGCCCTGGGGGTCCCCCTTCACCCCGCAGGCCCAGTCGCAGGAGGCTGTGGTGGTGGATGCTGTGGTCAGGGCACAAGGTGACCTGGTAACCAGGCGAACGGGGGACAGGGAAGGCACACAGGTGGCCAAGCAGGACCGTTTCTGGGGCCAGAACCTCCTCACCCACGGCAGCCGTTTGTGGGGCATCTTCAGAGCCTGGTCCTCAGGCTCAGGCCAGCGCGGGCCTGGCTGGGCCACCAGAACCTCAGTTCCCTACCTGTCAGCCAGGAAGATGGTATCCGTGTTCACAGCCACTGCCCTGGGCCTCCCGGGTGCCCAGGGAACACTAGGGGCCTGGGTGGCCTCGGGACCCGGTGTGGACACTGCTTTGGCCCCGCCACGCCCTCTATGCCCGGATCCTTTGTGGGACCCTCAGGAAGGTCCCGTGGGCTCGGCAGCCTCTGAAAGGCTGTCTCCCCGCACCCCATCCCACTCCCTCTGCCTGGGCCTCCCGCTCCTGTCCCAGCTGCCTTCCTGGAGGCGGGGCCACAGCCCTCCACGGGAGGGAGGGAGCTGCAGGTCTGAGGGGTCACTGTGCTCCGGTCTCACGGTTCAGACAGTAGTGACCTCTGCCCCCAGGTGGGCGGCACGCAGCTGCGTGGTGAGGAGCCTGAGCCTGGGAAGGAAGCCGAGTGGGGCATGTCCGCCCAGCAGTGCCTGTCCCACCCCAGGGATGGTGGGTGCAGACCCCCTGGGGTACACTCCCACCCCAGGTCAGACCTCGGGACACCGTGGCCGTGACGGGCAGAGGGTGCCAGGCCTCACTGTCCCATCGCATGGCTGTCAAGGTGCCATTGGGTGGTCCCCCAGTCCAGGGATTCTGCCCCGACAGGTGGCCCTGAGGCCAGGCCCAAGCTCCAGCCTCTGTGCTACTCCCTGGACGCACGGCCAGACTTGGGTCTGACACCCTTCCTGGGCCCGGAGTGCTGGTCCCCAGGCCTGGAGCCGCTCACAAGGGGACACCCCCAACGTGTGCACGCTCCCAGCCTCTCTTGGAAAACGGTCCCCGAGCGTCCGCTCCCGAGGGCAGCTCCTGGCCAAGGGCGAGCAGGGGCCACAGGCCACCACCACCTCTGGGGCCGCCACAGGCAGAGCCCCCCCAGTGCCCACGGCTTCGCATGGCAGTGGGTGACGTGAGCAGTGGCTCGAGGACCCGGGAGGAAGGCGTGGCTGTCCCCCCACCTGGTGCACTCTGAGCGGAAAGCCACGCTGGGGTCTCACTTGGTGTTTATTTTGGTGATGGGCCGTGGTGTGGTGACGACAGTGCCAGAAGGGGCTGGGCAGGGCAGATGGTCGGGCAGGCATCGTCCTGCCCAGCGGCCCCCATGCTTGTGGCCAAGACAGCAGGAGGCGGCCCAGTGACCACAGCAGACAGGGCTCCTGCCCTCCCTACCAGCAGGGGCTCCGGGCAAGGTCCCGGGTCCCTTGTTCCTGGGCTCCTGGCTCCTCTAAGCAGGGAGGCTGCACACCTCGGCCCCGGCTCAGTTGTGGGAGGCGGCAGCCAGTGCGCCGGGCTCCCCGCAGGGCTCAGGTTCAGGACCCCGAGGTGAGCTGGGCAGGTGCCTCTTCAAGGTGTGGTTTTATGAGGAGCACGTGTCTATGGAGGCTGTGCAGGGAGGGGTGATGCCAACCGTCCGTTGCTAGACAGAGCGCCGCCGCAGCCCTGGAGCAGGCGCAGGAGCAGGGGCGAGGCGGGGAGGCGGGGGCTCACCCCTGCAGGTGCCGCAGCTCGGGCGGCAGGTCGCACCCGGTGTACGCGCCATTGGTGATACTGTATTCCAGCAATGCGCCGAAGCAGGGGTCCTGGGGGGACACAGGAGCGGGCCTTAGAGTGGGCAGAGCGGACAGCCCCCACCGCTCCCCAGGCCCCTCCTCAGGGGAGTCCTGCCTGAGGGCGGCAGCTCACCCTGACCAGGACGTAGGGGTTTCCCAGCACAATCAGCAAGGCTTTGGGCCTGGTGACGGCCACATTGAACCGTTTTGAGTTGGACAAGAAACCCAGGAAATACCTATCATCTTCAAACCGGTCTTCGTTCGACCGCACCTGGAAGCACAAAGGCGGAGAAAAAAGGGTGTTTCAAGTTTTCCAGCATGGAAAGAACTCTTGACATATGAAAAACATTAAAAATACGAAACATCGTCAGTAGGACATTTTTGGTTAAAAGAGAAAAAAGCAGCCCTGGCTGACATGGCTCAGTGGTTAGAGCATCGGCCTACACACTGGAGGGTCTCGGGTTCGATTCTGGTCAAGGGCATGTACTTGGGCTGCAGGTCCGATCTCCACCCCCGGTCAGGGTGCATGTGGGAGGCAACCTATCGATGTGTCTGTCACATCAATGTCCCCCCCCCCCCACGCCCTTCCCTTTCATTCTCTAAAAAAAAAACCAGTGGAAAAAAAATATCCAAGCCCTAACTGGTGTGGCTCAGTGGGTAGAGCGTTGGCCTGCGGACTGAAGGGTCCCAGGTTCGATTCCGGTCAAGGGCATGTACCTTGGTTGCGGGCACATCCCCAGTAGGGAGTGTGCAGGAGGCAGCTGATCAATGTTTCTTACTCATCGATGTATCTAGCTCTCTATCCCTCTCCCTTCCTCTCTGTAAAAAAATCAATAAAATATATATTTAAAAAAATCCCAATATCCTCACTCCTTGGATGAGGGTAAAAAAAAGGGAAAAAGCAGCAGGGGTGGGGGAGGAGCCTCACTGCCCTCTGTCTGCACAACATGGGCCCAACCCTATGGGCTCAGCAGAGTGTTGGGGTGACTCAGGGAGTCGGGGTGACCAGGGAGTCGGGGTGACTCCGGGTGTCAGGGTGACTCCGGGTGTCGGGGTGACCAAGGAGTCGGGGTGACTCCGGGTGTCGGGGTGACCAGGGAGTCGGGGTGACTCCGGGTGTCGGGGTGACCAGGGAGTCGGGGTGACTCCGGGTGTCGGGGTGACTCAGGGAGTCGGGGTGACTCCGGGTGTCGGGGTGACTCGGAGTCGGGGTGACTCCGGGTGTCAGGGTGACTCAGGGAGTCGGGGTGACTCCGGGTGTCGGGGTGATGGTGGTTCTCTTCCCGATTCTCTAGGGTCCCCCAGGAACAGGGCACCTACGGTTGAGATGATGATCACCAAATGCTCTTGCCCTTGGAACTCCTCTACTGATCCGACCTTTATGTCCATCAGATCCACGTTTCTCAAAAGAATTTTTATTTTCTCCACCTTTGAAGCAGATAAAAAAGATTAAAGATAAAATTTTACAAAGCTGACCATTTCCTCCCACATTGCAGCAAAAGTCAATACCGACAACGTGCAGTGCTGCTTCTCAATCCCAATCGCATGTAACCCGACTCCAGGGCTGGCTCAGCACCCGTTCCTATGGAGGTGAGGGCAGCGCCGCCCTGTGGCGCCCTCCCCGGGCCTGAGCCTTCACCACACCTGTGGCCTGGAGACAGGCGGCGTGCCCTCCTCTGTGGCAGCGTCACAGGCAGCCAGGAGGCCAAACGCTGTGACGAGTGGCCACGGAGCCAGAAGGCGGGCTCGCCCTCAGGAGCGGGAACGGCCGAGTCGAGCAGCGAGACTCGGGACGAAGTGGGTTCCAGATGTTTGGAGGTCTCCAATGGGTGTTGGAAAAAAAGGCCCAATTTGAAATCTTGGAAGAACGAGTATTTGAAAGAAAACTCGATGGTAGGCGACTCCTCCCCAGGACCCTGGGGACGGTGCTGAGGGTGCAGGCCCGGGAGGGTCAGAGAGCAGGAGGGGACATCCGAGAGCCAGGCATGAGGGTCCCCAGGGAGGAGCCACGCAGACACCGTGGAGAGACTGTCCCCATTGGGAATAAGGGGAGTGTTCCCCGGGCGGAAAGGATGCTCCTGAAAACAACGCAGGCAGCGAGCAGGTGTCCTGGCAGCGCACCTGCTGCAGGACAAAGGCCAACCCTTCCCACACCTGCCGGCGGGGGACTAAGGTCAGGCTGAGGCGGTCAGTGCCTCTGCTGAGACGACAACGAGAAGACAAACCTCAGGAGACAGAAGCGCAGAGACCAGTGGTGCAGGCGGCACAGGTAAGCGACCCAACTCCAAAGCAATCGGCATGTTGACCAATTGTTCCAAGAAGAAACACGTGTTTGATAAAAGGTGGGATTTCTAAAACTCACCAGAAAGAGCACCAAGGGAAGAACCGGGGGTGGGGCAGGTCTGAAAGCTCACCGTGAGGGACTCAGCCCAGATGTCAGCTCAGCCCGAGCCCCAGCAGTCAGGCTGGCAGTCCCGGGGGGAGGCGGGGGGACCACGAGGGAGGTGGAGCCCAGGTGTGCACATGGGAGCCGTGTGTGCAGCAGGGACACACACCACACAGACCAAAGTCAGACAGATCCTTGCCATGACCACCCAACACAACCCAGAGGGCTGAGCCTCCAGAACAAAGTGGGAAACACACCTCACATCACGACAGGGAAGGGTTTCGTAGACAAAAAGCGAACAGCACAGACCATGAAGGGAACGGTTTACACGTCCCATGTGCATGTGACTACACAGAAAGAACACACACACCCACACACGGAGGGAACCAGGGACAAGGCCTGGCTGAGACGGCGTCTGGAACACTCGACCACCAAGGGCCCGGGTGCAGAAATGATGCTGACTCAGCACAACCTGCAGACACCACCTCAGAGCAACAGAGGGGGCACTGGATTCAAACAGGGTTTTAAAAACCCTCACCTGAGGGTATGTTCTATTTATTTTTAAATAAATATATATTTTTTATTGATTTCAGAGAACGAGAGAGAGGGATAGAAACATCAATGATGAGAGAAAACAATAGATCGGCTGACTCCTGCACACCCCACACTGGGGCTTGAGCCCACAACCCAGGCCTGTGCCCTGATCAGAATAGAACTGTGACCTCCTTGTTCATAGATAGATGCTCAACCACTGAGCCACACCGGCCGGGCTGTTTTATTGATTTTAGAGAGAGAAGAAGGTGGAGAGGGGAGGGGGGAAAGGCAGGGAGGGGGAGAGAGGGAGAGGGAGAAACATCAGTTGCCTCCTGTATATGCCCAAATCAGGGATTGAACCCGCAACCTAGGTATGCGCCTGACTGGGAATCAACCCTATGACCCTTGTGTTGACGGGACCTTGTCTGACTGAGCCACCTGACCAGGCTAAACAGGAATTTTGACGAAACATTATGGCCAGTAAATGAAAAGACTAGAAGCACAGGGCGAGAAATCACGCGGCCCCGCCTACCCATGCGCACCTCACCTACCCGTGCGCACCGAACCACGCTCACAGCCCCGCCCACCCTCGCCGGCCACAGGCCTTTTTATAATACAGATCTCAAGTCCCTGACAACCCCAGGGGAACCCCTCTTCCCCACTCAGGCAGCTGCAGGTGTGGGCACCGTGGGATTTGCAGACACGGGAGATGGGAGACCAGGGTGGGCCCAGGGCAGATGGAGGACGTGCACAGTGAGTACAGGGGTGACAACTTCACGCTGGGACAGGTGAGCATGGAGGCGGGCTCACCCAGGTGCCTGCACACCCAGCCCCAGGACCCGGGTGTGGAAGGCCAGGGGAGCCCCGCGGTGCCACGCGACGAGCTCGTGTCCTGTTCCTTGCATGGCCTCCGCGGACAGGAAGCACCGGAGCGGCGGGAGCGGGGCCCACCTGCTTGCGGTAGGGCGTGATCACGCCGATGTCCTGCGCGGACACCTGGCTGCAGAGGCTCCGGGCCAGGAGGCAGCTGTAGCGCATGACCTGCACGGCCTCGGCCGGGTTGAACCAGGACGGGCTCCTCCCTTCCCGCGCTTCGCTGCCCTGTCAGGTTGGGAGACAAGAGAGACAGGGCGTCACGAGGCCTCGTTTACCAGCTACACTCATTAAGGGCCGTGAACGGGGAGCCGAGCAGGCGCGGGGACAGGCAGAGGTGAGGGGCCTGGCTACGGAACCGGAACCGGCTCAGCTGCAGTGAGGCCCAAGGACGGGGGGTGAGGAGGGCAGTGTCACGTGAGGACGGAGACGGGGGTGGGGGGGGGGTGCACATGCCGGTGGCGAACAGAGCCCGGGAGCCAGGATGGCTGCGGTGGCAGTGACCAGTGTGGTCAGTGCGGGAGCCCCTCGGGCCAGGCCCAACCCCTCGCTCTGGCTGCCCCCGTCCTATGGAAGGTGCGCCCTCCTCTCTCCGGCCTGCAGGGAAGACAGGAGGATGACCAGCGCGCACAGGCCATCACTGCAGATCAAAGAAATGCAAACCCAAACCTCAGGGCCCGCCCACGCCCACCAGGACGGCCACAACTAAAGACAGACACGGTGCCTGGCGCCCAGCGTGAGGTGGTGCAGCCGCCGTGGAGAACGTGTGCAGGCCCTCAGAACCCGAAAGCAGAGTTCCCCTCTGGCTCAGGCGTTCACCTCCGGGCATTCACCCACAAGAACAGAATTAACGCCGGGACCCAGGCAAGTAGATGTGGGAGCAGCCCAAGCGCCCATGCAACGTGGGAAGCACACGAGGCCCGAGCACACGATGGGAGACCCCCGCGCGGCGCATGCAGGCGGCCCGAGGGCCCGGAGCAGACCCAGGGGTGATGGGGGCACCGGGGCAGGGAGGGGCGGGTCAGTGGGACAGTGTCCGTCCGGGAAGATGGAGAGCTCTGACTGACTGTGACACAAGGGCCCGTGCTACCCCCCGAACTGGGCCCTGCTGGCGAATGCAGCCGACTGGACACGGTGTTTCGCCACAACGGAAACAGCGCACACAGAGCAGTGAGAACGCACTGACTTGCCCTGGCTGGTGTTGCTCAGTGGATAGAGCGTCGGCCTGCAGACTGAAGGGTCCCAGGTTCGATTCTGGTCAAGGGCACATGCCTGGGTTGCGGGCTTGATCCCCAGTAGGGGACGTGCAGGAGGCAGCCAATCAATGATTCTCTCATCGTTGATATTTATCTCTCTCTCCCTCTTCCTTCCTCTCTGAAATCAATAAAAATATATTTAAAAAAAAGAAGAAGAAGAATGCACTGACTTCCAGGAGTTTTCGCTGAGGGACTTGACTGGTCCCTGGATCTACGAGGAGAGGTCGGTAACCAGCAGTGAGAGGAGTGGGCTGTCCTCGGAGGGAACACCAGTCAACGGGCACCAGCCGCGCAGCAGAGATGAGGGAGGCGAGGGGCAGGCTCTTACACGGGCGCCATGCGAAGCCCGCAGCTGCTCAGAAGCGGCCCTGAAGCGAGGAAGGAGGGATGAACCCGGGAAGGGGCGTCGATGTCTCACCAGGTGGGACGGAAAGGAAACCAGGACAGGGCACGACCTAAACTGCAGGCGCGGTGCAGCGGGAGCACAGGCGGCAAGGCCTCAGGCGCCGGCGGGGATCTGGGGTGGAAGCCTCGGCAGCAGTCACGGCCCCGCCAGGGGGAGGCCGAGCAGACAGGACCCAGGTCAGGACACAGAGGAGCTGACGGACAGGCTCCACAAGTAAATTTAAAAAATCTACGTGAAACTTACGTTCTCAACAGAGAAGGTGAGCTTTTTGTGTGTCCTTAGAACATCTACTCAAACAGTCCCATGGGACCACAGATCTGTAAAAGCCGGGGCTACAGGCCTGGCCTTTCATCAGAACCAACGCAACTGGGCATAAAAAGAGGCGACCACGGCACTCTGAGCCCCTTTGGAAGTCAAGGAAAACATGTCTCTGTGAGCTCGATCGAAAAGAAAAATGGGG